TGATAAACTGAATGGCAACTTATAATATATGGAGCCGTAAGATGTGGTATGTACTGGAAGAGAAAGATACTCTGGAAGGTATAAACCATGTTATGAGTCACCCTAAGGAGGGTAATACTGTCCAACACAGGACAGATCCAGAAATGATTGCTCAACTTAAAAAATGTTGGTCATATTCTCTCTTATGAGCAGCAAGTTTAGGGAGTGATCCGATCTTTTTCCTACAACTGGGAACTTTTAAAGGTTAATATAACCTCTAATAATAACATCAAAACCTTTGCTAATATTGTCCGCCTTTGTGGAGCTTGAAAATGAGCGGCTTGATGGTGCTAAAGCTATACCTAGTGCCTATGTAAGAGAATCATGCTGTAAAAAGCTTTCAATCTTCAAGCATATGAATAATTTTTTTAAAAAACGGAAAAGGCAAGGAGACCGAAGATGAATCCTCCTAGAAAAGTAACCTACCAAATTCTAAGAGGGAAAATGACATAGAAGAAAGATAAAAGTGAGATGAAGTACTATAATTATTGGTACTTGTTCTTCTTGTATAGATTTCGTCTTAGCAGATATTGTGAAGAGTACTCTAGAAAATATTTTATATGATTTTGGACACACATGATAGTTTCTTTATGTTAAATAGTAATTATTTCATTTATAACTACAATGTTGACTGTTGTGTTATGCCATGCTATTCTAGTAATAATGATGTTGACTTTATTACATGGCGTACAAGATTAGGTCACATAGGGCAGGATCGAATGAATAGATTGGCTAAGGAAGGATATTTAGGTTCTTTCTTTAAAATTGAAATGCCAACCTGTGAAAATTGTCTTGCTAGAAAGATTACACGTAAACTATTTGGAAAGGCTAAGAGAGCTGATTTTCCATTGTAATTAATCCATTCTAATATCTGTGGTCCAATGAATGTGAGGGCTAGGTCTGGTGTTTTATATTTCATTACGTTTATAGACGATTTCACGCGCTTTGGTTATGTCTATTTGATTTCTCATAAATCTGAAGCACTAGAATGCTTTAAGAAATATTTGAATGAAGTTGAGAATCAATTAGATAAAAGGATTAAGACCTTAAGAACCGATAGAGGGCATGAATATCTATCAAATCAGTTTGAAGAATTGTATAATGAAAAGGGAATCACTATACAGTTAACTATTCCTTACACACCTCAACTAAATGATGTAGCAGAAAGGAGGAATAAAATACTGTTGGGCATGATAAGGTCCATGATGGCGCATGCAAATTTACTTATCTCCTTTTGGGAATATGCGTTATTGACTGCAACCTACATATTGAACAAAGTGCCTTCTAAATCAGTTTCTTCCACCTCTTATGAACTATGGACTAGTCATAAATCAAACTTAAATAATTTATGACCTTGGGGTTGTGCTGCATATGTAAAAGATTCTTTTAGCAAGTTTGGAAAATTAGGTCCAAAAGGCAAGAAATGTATCTTCATAAGATATTCAAAATACTCTAAAGAGTATGTGTTCATTGGTGAATTAGATGATGGAAGTGTTACTGAGATTGAATCACGATATGTCATATTTTTGGAAAATGATTTTCCAAAGAAGGGCGAGGTAAGGAATGGAGAGCCTCTTTATGAAATGTTGAACTCAGATAGTCAGCAAATGTCTTCTGACATAATTGATAATCAAATTAATCAGGATCTTGTTCTTGATCCAAGTGGGAGTGGGAGTTCTCAATCCAAAAATCCTTCTGACGAATCTGAATTTCAACTACGAAAGAGTACCGGGAAAAATATACCCAAATGTACTTATGAGATTGAAGATTACATTTTTTTGGTATCTCCCATAGAAATGGATGAGCCAAACTCTGTGACCGAGGATTTATCGAGCCTTGGAAAAGATGAGTGGATGAAATCAATGAAAGAAGAATTAGAGTCAATAAAAACCAACAAAGTCTGGGATCTAGTTAACCTTCCGCCTGGGCGTAGAGCTATTGGGAACAAATAGGTTCTCAAAGTTAAACGCAAAGCGGATGGGTCAATAGAAAGATACAAGGCACGATTAGTGGCACAAGGCTTCACTCAAGAAGCTGGAATAGATTATGAAGAAACATTTTTACCAGTTGTGAAGTTTACCTCAATTCGCTTACTTTTAGCTATTGTTGCATGTTTGGATTTGGAATTACACCAACTGATCGTGAAAACAGCTTTTCTCAATGGAGAACTAAACGAGAAAATATACATGGAACAACCTGTAGGCTTCATCGCTAAAGGCCAAGAAAATAAGGTCTGTAAATTGAAAAGATCTATTTATGGCCTGAAGCAATCTTCAAGGCAATGGTATTTAAGATTTCACAAGGAGGTGCAGCAGTCTACATAATTTCACCATGATCAATGAAGACCATTGCATTTATGTGAAGAAGTCTAATGGGATATTTGTAATTCTTTCTCTTTACGTGGACGATATTTTATTGGACGGAAACAATTTGGAGTATTTAAAAACTATCAAGTCATGGCTTTCAAAGTCATTTGACATGAAAGATATGGGTGAGGCAAATTATATCCTTGGAGTTAAGATCCAAAAGGACCATTCCAAAAAGTTATTGAGTCTATCTCAAGAAACTTATATAAAGAAAATTTTGGAGCGTTTTCGCATGAATAGTTGCAAATTCATGGATACTACTATAGCGAGAGGTGAAACTTTAAGTCTTGAAATGTGTCCCAAGACTAAAAATGAAAAGGAAGACATGTCTCGAGTTACGTATTCAAGTATTGTCGGGAGCTTGATGTATGCTATGATGTGTACTCGCTCAAACATTTGTTATGTCGTAGGTCTGGTTAGAAGGTATTAATCCAATTCCGGAAGAGATCATTAAAAAGAGAATTGTAGATTATTCACTATGTTATAGTGAAATTGATTTACTCTTCAGAGAGTATATAGATATGAGGGACATCATGGCAAGTAAAGAAATAACATTACAATACATACCTACGCAAAAATGATAGTTGATCCTCTTACAAAAGCAATATCTAGAGACATATTTGAGAAACATGTTCTGGCTCTAGGTTTGCGAAAGATATGTTAGTATTTGTGTATTGCAAAATATTTTGGTTATTGTCGTATACTCATCAATGTATTATTATTGAGATTGTATTGATATTATATATGCATGTGTTGATATCCTTTTGAAGGATATAAGTGTGTCGGACAAGTTGCGAGATCGGCTCTCACACGAGCAATCACCTCTGACGTCGAGGAACGTGTAGAGATAAGACCTATTAGAACCTTGATTAGTGCAAGGTCATATATATTTTTGAATAGAATGATCGGTCTTGACTAGAGTTCAGACTTATGGATTTCATAATCCTTAATGACTTGTTTTGAAAGCCAGATACTAGTTTCTCTAAGAAATTGGAGTTGAGGATTATTGAAGCGAGAAACTCGGGTTAGACATCTAGAGATGTCTTGGTCAAGATTTGTACGGTATTGAATGAGTAAAAGAATGAGACACACACGCCAATATAAGGTAAGAACACCGTAGCATGTGTTTCATACCACATGTGCTAGCGACCAATGGGATAATAGAAGAATGGATCCATGTTTCTTCATTGTGTGAGATCCCGAAAAGTTATATTAACTTTTATTGGAATACCCTTTGACCTTTTACTGTATCTTGAAGTGGCAATCGATGTTACTACTTTAGCATGTCACTAATAGCCATGAGCGATTCGGCAATGCATTGCATGTCTAGGAAAGTAGTTGATCTGGAATGAATAGATTCGAGTGGAAAAGGAAGGCAACTAAAATTAGTAATAACTTGTATTCACTTGTCGACCATTACACTTACCATGAGGGTATTGAGTGTAATTGTGGGTACAATGTTATATTTGAACTCGAGTTCACCTCTTCCGAGGATGAGGGATCAAATAACTACTACTGGAGTAGCGAATGACGTCTGGGGTATTGCGAGTAATAAGATCCTCATGTTGGTAATGCATCCTTTCCATATGTGATTGGATTTCTACATGGAGCTTTAGTACAACTTTAATGAGTTTGAAATACTATAGCTCTTAATGCTCGCAGGTCGCACGAACTATTTGTCAGTATGAATTACGTGTGTTATTGACATAAAATTGGTTCGGGTATAACCCACCATGAGCAAAGTGGGAGATGTTGGATATTGAGTTTGGATCTTGGGTCGCTCCATGTAGGCTGACCCGACCCATCTAAAATTGATAAGGTAAAAGAGAGTTACTCAAAATAAACTACCATACCCAGTTAAATAGTGATGGGGTTAATCAGTTTTTTAAATCTCTTTTACATGAATCATGTTATGTTTCCTTCTTCTCACAGGAGAAAGAAGAAAAACAGAAACTCCCTTCTTCCTCTTCAAAAACCACACAAGGATAAAAGACACTTAGTTTGTGAAATTCTAACTTTGTTTCCAAGAGATTCAAAGTTCGACTTGGGGCAATTTTTTTGGTGGTGAGTTCAACGATATTCGCTGCGTCAAAAAGGTACACAACTTGTTGTTCTCCCTCCTCGGTTTAATCTCACTGTTGCTTTACACAAATAGCTAATACGACAAAAGAATAGTAATAGGTAGAAGCAGCGGTAAGAAGGCCCATCTCAAGTGAAGAAAGCCGAGAAAACAAATAGAAAGAGCACTATGCAAGCTTATAATTAAGTAAAAGATATTGGGGACTATATTTATCATTTTAAATAGCTTTCTTTCTGCATCAATTAAGTTGAATTTCTGCAGAGCTCTACATCCGGCCACTGTTAGCTGCTGCCTTCATAGTCGCATGATGAATAAATCTGGACGAATTATATATTTGGCCTTTTCTATCAAAATATCTCACATGCACTGTTCATTTGTATGTTCAATTGAAAGGTTACCCAGATTTTAGGTAATGGAAAGGCCCTCCCGTTGCTAAATGAGAGATACATAGTATAACATGCCATAGACTAGTATATTAAATTGGTTAAAGAACTAGGAAAAGGAAAATGGTTTAGTTATGGTTATGAACAAAATTGGAGGATAAAGTTTATATTCTTAAAACAAATACAGATCATCAAGCAAAAGAAAACAGTAGACAAACTATCAGCAGCTTTTCATAACAATAGTCTCCAGAGTTGTAATAACTTCTTGTGAAGCTCAGTAAAGAGCTTCCATCCTTTTTACTTCCAATAGCCACACAATTACCTGCAATAACATTCAAGGAACAACTACTGATGGTTAAATGCTACTGAACTTTGTAACCTTTTTGTTCCAAAAGGATATGAAAGTACCTGATGTCATGGGTTTAGGACATTCAATAACAAGAAGAAAGCTTCTGTTTGATCTTTTCTAATGCTGCTACAACATCAGTCATGTTCATCCTTTCAGCTGGAATATTAGCTGTGCAATTCATGGCTAACTCCATGATGGATGACACACATTGCAACTTTTGACTTAAGTTTTGCTCATCAGATGTTAGTAAGTCGGCATCTATGATCTGGTCCAACTGATCAGGAAGCGAATTATGCACGAAGCTTCTCAAATTTAAATCTCCCGTGAACATTTCATCATTAGGTTTCTTCTTTGTAAAGGTTTCGAGCAACATGATACCATAACTATAAACATCAGACCTCTTGGATATAAGGCCTTCCAAACCATACTCTAAAAAGAAAAATTAAAATGTCTGAGACAACACAACACATTAAACAAAAACTTCGTTATAAGTTAAATAAATGATTCACCTGGAGCAATGTAACCAATTGTGGCAAAGGTTGTTGTATGAGCAATAGATTCTTCCTTAGTTAAAAGTTTTGCAATACCAAAGTCAGTCAGGTGTCCCACCATGTTGTTGTCAAGTAACACATTGCTAGGCTTCAGATCACAGTGAACAACCGGTACTGTGTAACCATGATGGAGATATTCCAGAGCAGATGCAACATCGATCATGATATTCAATCTTTGCATTATGTTTAAACAATAATCTCGAGAATATAGCAACTTGTCTAAGCTCTCATTTGGCATGTACTCAAGTATCAATGCTTTAAAATCCAAGTTGCAACAGCTGCTAATGATCTTGGTGAGATTTCTGTGACGAAGATTCCGTAAAATTTCACATTCTCTATCAAAGGTTTGAAATGTACCTTCCATCTGCACATTGAAAACTTTAACAGCTACTATCATCCCATCTGCCAAAGTTCCTTTATAAACAGAACCAAAACTTCCACTACCTAGCAAGTTATCTCCGTCAAAGCCCTGGGTTGCTCTTTGAAGTTCATAGTAAGAAATTCTTTGTGGTGCTACCTCAGGCAAACACTCATCTTCAGCATTGACTGTTTTATGCCGACGTCTCATCAACACGAAAATTATTGCTGAGGCAAGCCCTATTACAAAGATCACTGAAGAGGCAACTACAATCCATATTAGTCTTTTCTTCTTTGAATTAGAATGATTCTTTGAATTAGAAGGACAAGGTAGGACATGCTTTTGAGGATTACCACACAATCCTTCATTCGACATGAAAGACTGATAAGGGAGATGAACAAAAGGTCCTCCATTCGGAATTTCCCCGTGTAACCTGTTGAATGAGACATTAAAGGAGCCTAGGTGCTTAAGTTTCTCTAATGACTTTGGAATCACACCAGACATATTGTTATATGAAAGATCCAATGCTTCCAAATTTATGAGTTCTCCAAATGTCTCAGGAATAGATCCTTCAATTCTATTATGAGCCAAAGATAGTTGAATCAATTTCTGTAAACCTCCCAATGTACTTGGAATGTTGCCTGAAATATGGTTTCTGGAGAGATCCAAAGATATTGCAGCCTTGAGGTTTCCAACTTCTAGGGGTAGAGAACCAGTAAAGAAATTAGAAGAGATGTTCAGCGTCATGATGTCTTTGAGATTCCATAGACTTGAGGGTATGCTAGAAGTGAAGTTATTGGAATCAAGATAAACCTCTCTTAGGGAAGTCACATTCCCCAAGCAAGTAGGAATATTTCCCCACATTTGATTTTGTGAAAGGATTAGCATGCCTAACTTTGGTAGCTCACATAAATTAGTTGGGAAAGGGCCACTTAATCTGTTTGCACCAAGTGAAAGCCGTTGGAGGTTTTTCAAAGAAATTATTGTTGTCGGGACAATTCCAGTAAACTTATTACCATCCAGCGCCAAAGTAGATACATTTCTCAAATTTCCAATCTCACTTGGAATATTGCCTTTGAGGTTACAGCCTACTGCCACAAACGTTTGAAGAGAAGAGAGATTGCCGATGGATTCCGGAAGCATTGCATTTAAAGGATTGAAAGACAATATCAATCTTTTCAAGTGGTTAAAATTTTTCAAAGGAGTAATAACGCCCGATTCACTTGTGAAGGAGTTACCATACAAGTTGAGAACTTCAAGTAGTCTTAAATTTCCTAGAGAATCAGGAATTGAACCCGTAAATTCATTATTGACGAGGCTTAGAATTGTAAGCTTAGACAAATTTGAGATGGAAGCAGGTAAGACACCATTAATGTAGTTTCCATTTAGAAAAATTTCTTCAACATTGGGTAACCTGTTGCCTATGGTGGAAGGAAGGTTACCTGAAATGTGGTTATGGTCGAGGTTAATACTTACAAGAGATGAGATATTGAAGATGCCAATAGGGATTGACCCATTAAAATTATTGTAAGATAATGAAAGGTACTCCAACTCTTTAAGTTTACCGACTTCATGTGGAATTATTCCTGCAAAATTCAGTAAGATAAGGATGATTAGATAGAAGTATCCAAAAAACTGAAATTCTAAATTAGATATATTTCCATACCTGTTAGGTTATTAAATGCAAAATCAAGCCAGACAAGCATACTCGAATTTCCAATCTCTCTTGGTAAAGGTCCTTCAAGCATGTTATCACCCATAAATAAATTTTCAAGTGATGAAATGTTGAATATGGTTAAAGGGATTGGGCCTGTTAATCTATTGTTTGCCATGATTAAATCCTTCAAGTTATGAAGATGACCAATCTCTTCAGGAATTGTCCCTGTCAAATTGTTAAACGAAAATATCACATAAAAATTCATATAGTATTTACAAGAGTATAACTCTATACAATAATACTTTTAGAAAACCAAACCAACCATATATAATTCCAAAAAAAAAAAAAAACATATATAATTCATTCGCATTTGGCATTAGCTGAAACAACATAGGTAAAAATCATTTTGTAAGTAAATTTAGACAACAATATATTTTAGACTTAATACATAGTTTATCCCCCGAGCATGTAGCCAAATTCCTTCTGCACACTCTCCTTCACAAGAAGCTTTTTACACAAAAAACGTTTCACCAAATATATCTAATACACACCAATTTGACCACTTGGCCAGCGTATTTTACCAACAAATTGTGCCTGTGAATAGGTGGAAAAAACTTGTGTATGAAGCCACCTTATTTAAGTGCCACAAGTCCAAATTTTATTCTATTTTTGGAAAATAAATTATCTTCTTCCTTATAACCAGGTTCCTTCTCAACAATGGAGTCTGGAAATTCCCTCAACAAATTGTTCAAAGCAGTAGATAGATTTCGGTTCTCAATTCTAAGAAACAAGTATCATTCCTTCTCAATCAGCAACTATTCGACAATAATCTGGGTTTATAAACTCAGATTTCAAGTTCGAAGGGCCATCAATGTGAAACACTCCAAGCCTTTTTCAAACAAATAACCCCAACTCAGATTTCAATAAAAGTCCAAACTATGAAACTCTCTTTAAAAATAATTCCTCATTCCCCAACTCAAAAGCACATAGAAAACACGCAAAGAAAAAAAAAAACAAAAGGAGAAAATCCAATCAAATCATAAAGAGCAACTTTTAGTAAAGAAAAATCCAAAAAAGTACTTCAGATAATTTGGAAAGTCGAAGAGGATGTGATGTTTTTTTCCAGACAATCGATTTTGTACCCATATCTGTTCTGAGGTTTGGACGAAGAACGTATGGTTGAAATTGTCAAAAGTCTCACGAGATGACAATTTTGAATGAGAATTTTATACCCTATAAAAGGAGGCCTAATATTTAGGATTTAAGTACACCTCTCATTACTTGTAATTTTGGAGTGGAATAAAATATTGATTGTATCCGAGGAAGTAGGCAAAATTGGCCGAACCTCGTAAATTCTGGTGTTCTTTTATTGTTGTCTTATTGTCTTATTTATTATTTAGTGGTTGTCATAATTTTTGGTATAGTAGTTGTGACTCATTCACACTATATACATTTGGCTTCCGCAACAATTGGTATCAGAGCCAAGGTACTGCTTAAGTATGCACTGTGGTTGCAGCATAGTCTGATATTCCACATCAGAAAAGATCTATCTTGGTAAATGAGTCAAGGTTCTGTCTGAGTATGCTCGGTGGTTGCAGCTTAGTCTGATCTTCCACACCAGAAAGGAAATAATCTTGATTTGTATCGTCAG